GTCGACGTATACGTAAAGCGATTGAAAGAACGGAAAGGAGGACTAAGAATCTCCAATGACAACTGGCAGTGCTACATTTGCTACAAGTGCCTGCACTTCAGCGTCCGTCCATCTATCGCTGTTCTCCATACTTGCGAAATAAGTTGACACAATGTTTACAGTATGTTTACACGGCGTTTTAAATCATGGCGGGGGAGGGCGTTTTCATACGCGTTTGGCCAATCAATGTCTACTTGCGTCACGATTAGTACCAGTTTTGCTGGTTAGACCCTGCTAATTTGGTTCTCGAAAAAGGCAGTCCGGTACTAAAATCGCTCCCAGTTCCGGCGGTGCGAACACGCCAAAAAGTGGGTAGTTCCACAATTAGTTCTGGTACTATGAAAAGGTTCCTGCGGTGAGAAAGGCCCTAATCAGTGGGAGGTAAAGATATCAAGTGGAAGTGAAAAGCTTGGGGGTTGGGAGGTTGGGCCGCTGAAAAAAAAAAAGCAGCAGAGGAAATTAGGCCAGAAGATGATGAATTATCAGCAATGTGGGAACAAAAAGTCTTATTTCTCAAAAATGAAGTCTGAAGGTTATCCCTGGATGTAAACCAATCTCTTCTTTCTTAAATACTATGCTTTTCGGTGTGTTCACACTTCTTTAAGCTGGAATACTGCTTTGGGTGGTCGTGAAGTATCTGTGGAGAATACTACAAAGTAGTATTTCAAACACACAATCCATGTGCAAACTACTAAATATATTAGTTGCAGTACGGTGTGTTTACCAGTACTAAATGAAGAACATTTGGAAAACCCAACATCTCAAATATGAACCAGCACCTCAAAGAGAGATATAAATTGGTAACGGGTTCTTTGCTACAAGACAAATACCTGGAAAGACCATGTGACTCCTTCAGCTAGATGGACCAATTCATTTCACTTCACTAGGTCAAATCCTTTTTCATTTACAGGGTCTACCAGCCCTTAGGCCAGAAATTTGCAAGCAAATTCTTTGCCAAAGATCTCCAGATAAAGCAGGCCAACTTTACTAATGATGTTTGAGCCCTGAAAACCCATCGCAAACTGAATTCCAGAAATGAAAAAGGTCAGGACAAGACTGAGATAGGAAATCGGGATGCTTGGACTGCCTCTGGCCAGTTCTCAGTGAGGTCATAAAAACCTAACAGGAGCTCTCACGAAGGAGAGAGGGTGTAGACAAAGACAGCACAATTCCGTCCCACCGGCTACCACTCCTAAAGAGGTTAAAGGTCAATTTAGAGGCATCTGCTCCCAGCCCCCAGGATTGCTGATAACTCCAGTCCAGAGCCAATGAGCTAATGGCACGGTTGTTTTAACATTAAAAAGATCCCATGTGTAAAGCCTCTGGATTTCTATGGCCTTTCCTTGTCCAACTTGGCCTGTTTCAAGCCCCTGACCCTAATGAACTCAAATCACACTGACGTCTAGACTATACACACTTTTGATGCAGCGAAGGAGGAGGGGGGTCGCTCCATATGATTTCATGACTTTGCACAAGTCCCATGTGGAAATGTTGTCACTTTCTTGCATTAGCTGCGCCACAAGACCCTTCGGAGTTCTGGAGCGACTGATGGTATCGGGAATAAACAACAGAAAACAATTAGTTGTTATGTTTTTTTCTTGTTTGGTACAATACACAATGTGTGCATTTGATAAGACGATAAGAATTTCTGGCAATGCTATTATGCACACATAAGGATACACTTATCAGATCTGTGTCTTCCTTTCCACTAGTTAGATGACAAACCCAAATGAAAAGAGAAAAACATACTGCTTTTCTGTTGTTTTTTTTTTGTTGTTTTTTTGTGGAGTCCCTTAAAACTAAGTTGGCCCAGAGGTAATTTTTCTGTTCTTAGACTTAAAAATGTATATCCACAAAGAACAATTCCACAACAAAATGTCTTGTAGCAAGCTCTTTAGGGTCCAAGAAGGATTGTTTTCCTTTTGACTGGCATGTACTTTTAACTGTTAAAAGACTATAAATCCAATACTAAGAAATCAGTCTCTCTGGGGATACAAACATCAAGCGTTCTGAAAGAACTGGAGCCCATCTTTATAGTGGAGCTGACATTGCCTCTGAGACATGCAAAGCAAATGAAGAAAAACCCTGGCCAAGCCATCAAGACTTCTAAAAACATCTACCCCGAGCACGCTGCTGGCTTTGTACTGAGCGAAACTCGTCAGGGTTGGCATCGAGAACCACATAATCATATTCTCACCCCAAGACCATTGCTTTTACAGCAGTCTCCCAGACTTTACCTTCATTTAAGGGGCCCCCAAATGCAATGTGATCAGACTCCTCCAATCTGACAGCCAAATTATGCTTAGCAAGGAGAGCCAGTAAGCTCCAAATCCTACTGCAGCTCTCTTAAACTGTCTGACCCAGGATAACTTGGCTTGATTGGTCGGCAGCAGATCAAATGTGCTTTTTCGTCCAACATCATTATAATCCGCGTTCTTAATGGCTGTTCTTACACAGTGTTGGTATGTTAAATAGGATTACAAATGATGCTTGGTGGTGATTAGACCTTTCTTTAAGACAACAACATTTGAGAGAAGTCTTTAAAGGGTAGTTCACCCAAAAATGAAAATTAGGCTGCGTTTTACTCACCCCCGAGGCATCCTAGGTGCATATGACTTTCTTCTTTCAGATGACTCCAGTCTGAGTTATATTAAAACTTGTCTTTGATCTTTCAAGCTCTATCATTGCAGTCAGTGGGTGTTGCATTGCTTCAGTCCAAAAGACGTTAAATAAAAAGTGCCCATGCATTAAAAAAAGCGTTTCACTTGGCTCCGGGGGGGGGGGGGGGGG